TGCAGGTATCTTCCAGCACATATGTGATGCCACGTCGCCGTGGCAGAACGGCAGGGTCCAGCGCCACGGAGGCTGGATCAAGAGCGCACTGGCCAAGGCAGCCGATCACGTCCAGCCCTCCTCCCATGCCGAGGTAGAACTCATCCTCCACGTGGCCGTGTCAGCTAAGAACAGATACTACCACAGGTCTGGATACTCCCCGTAACAGCTAGTGTTTGGCGAGAATCCTCGACTCCCTCGCTCTCTGCTCAGCGACGAGGGAGTCGATGACATAGGTGTGGAGGATGTCCAGGGTGATGTGACCGGCCAGGACAGCGTCGCCAGCACGTTTGCTCGGAAGCATCAGATCCGCGAACAGGCCAAGAGGGCCCTGATGTGTGCCGATGCGAAGTCGCGTCTGGCTGAATCTCGGAGATCTCGACCCCATGCTGATCGTGTCTTCGTCCCCGGGCAGTGGATTTATGTGTGGAGGAAGGTGATTGGCGTGAAGACACACGCGCTTCAGCGCGACCGTTGGGTTGGTCCCGGGGCCGTCGTTGATCACAAAGGCACCACCGTGTGGATCGCCATGCGCACCAAGCTTTGGAAATGCTCGATCGAGCAGGTCCGAGAGGCTACGCGGGAGGAGGCGCGCGGGGCCGAGCTCATCGACACCCCCGGATTCCGGGAGCTTCGGGAGGAGGTGCGCCACCCGGGGAAGAAGACAGGAGCTCTGGACGTGGAATCTGAGGGGCCTCCCCCCGACGAGGCCGTTGGGACGACCAGGATCGTTCCGCTCGGGGCCCAGGAGGCGCTCCCGGTGCCCCGGCGGGGATGGCGGAGGGTCGACGGCTCGTCCCTTCAAAAACCAGCGGAAGATCGGGTGGAAGCGAACTCCTCCTCCTCCTCCTCCTTCTCCTCCTCCTCCTCCTCCTCCTCCTCCTCCACTTTCTCCTCCTCCTCCTCCTCCTCCTCCTCCTCCTCCTCCTCCTCCTCCTCCCCCTCCTCCTCCTCCTCCTGGGGCTCAGGGGGTGCTATAGAGTCGACCCCGTCAGAAGGCCAGGTCGAGTCCGCCGACAGGGACGAGAGGCTGCACCCTCCCCCCCGGACTGGCGCGAAGCTCCTCGATCCCGCCCACGCGTGAGCAGTGGGGGCAGCTCGCCCTCAGGACCCCCCTCCACGATCGGATCAGTCAAGATTGCCGGCTCGGCCGAAGAGCCAGAAGCCCTGTCAACCCCGCCTGGTCTTTCGAGCATCACAGGTGGCGAGCGGGAGAGATCCCCGCGAGCAGTCCAGCGACCAGCCATCAGCTCCACATTCCGACACACGCGACGGGCGGGCTCTCCTGTCCGCGGGCTACTGACCCGTGTGGTGGGTCCCGGGGTCACTCCGGTGGAAGACATGCCGCAGGCTTCCGTGCTGGAACGAGTTCGGAAATGGGAAAATCAGAAGGATGGATCCGGCATCGCGAATGCCCAGTCACAATCCAGCGAGAGCCTCGGTCCCGGGTCCGAAGGGCTGGCCGCCGCCGTCATGGCCGAAGAGGAAGCTCGAAGGAGCCGATGATCAAGACCAGAGTCTGCTTTGTGAGCTTGAGGCCTGAGGACCAAGCCTCGAGTCCTGTCTCTCGTTCGCCACGGCAGGACCAGGCTCGGAGGGGTCCCGGCGCGGTCAGGAGGTCGTCTGGAAGAAGCTCAGCCCAGAAGAACGGGAAGAGTTCAAGAAGTCAGATGCCACCGAGTGGTCAGCCATGACAGCCAGCAGGGCTGTGAGGGTGGTCCCCCCGGAAGAAGCGGCCCTCGTTCGCAGGAAGGACCCCTCCCGCATTCTCTCCTCGAGAATGGTCCGTCGGTGGAAGCCGCAGGAAGGCACGGGAGCCAGCGCGAAGGCAAAGTCACGGTGGTGTGTGAGGGGGTACGCCGACCCAGACGCTGAGTCCCTTCGCGTCTCCGCTCCGACCCCCCAGGAGGAGGCTGTGCTAGTAGCCCTCCAGCTGATCGCTGGCAAGAGGTGGAGACTTCAGATAGCCGACTGTAAGAATGCGTTTTGCCAAGCCGACCCCCTCTCCCGTCCCAACGGGAAGATATACGCTGAGCCTTGCGACGGAGTAGATGTTCCCCGCGGGGCCCTCCTGGAGCTGGTAGCCCCAGTCTACGGACTGAACGACGCTCCTATCAGGTGGCACCAGACGCTGACCTCGTTTCTGAAGTCCATCGGGTTTCGGCGGTCCCTCCTGGAACCCTGTCTCTGGGTCTCTCATCACGCCTCGGGGGGTTTGAAGGCTCTCATCGTCATAGAAGTTGGCGATCTAGTTATCGCGAGTGAAAAGTCCTCCGAGGGTGAGCTCAAGAGGCTGCTGACCAGTCGTTTCTCATTCGGGAAATGGCAGATCGGCGAGGCCGAGTACGCTGGAAGGAGAATCAGGCAGCAGTCCGACGGGTGGATCCAGATCGACCAGGAGCAATACAAATTGGAGCAGGTCAGAGCCATGCGAGTCGACAAGGAACGTGCAAGGTCACCCGGGGACCTTCTGGACGACCCGGAACTCAGGGACTACAGAGGTCTCGTGGCCAAGATTCTCTGGGCGGCCCGTCAGTCTCGTCCCGACGTGTCCGGATCCGCCTCGATGCTGAGCGCCGAATGTCCGAACGTCACCGTGGCCTCTGCTCTGATGGCTAACAAGGTCGCCCGCCACCTCCGTAGCACCGCCTGTTCATGTTTGACGATCTGGCCATTGGACTTGAGCGCCGCGACCATGGTCACATGCAGTGACGCCGGGGGGCCCGGGTCCGCGAAGAAGGATGGCGCTCAACGAGGATGGCTGGTGATGCTCGGGGACTCTCGGATAAAAGACAACCGTCGGTCCCGGGTGTCCCTTCTGTCGTGGAGAAGCCAGAGACTTCGTCGGGTGGTTTCGTCTACGCTCTCGGCAGAGACGTTGAGCCTTTCAGCTGCCCTCGCTGAGGGGCAGTGGCTTTGGCTTGTTTTCCGGGATGCTTTGTACGGGGATGTCTGGGGACCTGAGTGGTGGAATTCGGGAACGGCCTGCCCGTTTGCCGTGGCTCTGGTGGACGAGTGTGCTATCGCCAAGGCTTCCGAGGGCGTCGCAGTCGTAGATGCGATGTCGCTCTTCGACACGCTGTCGAAGAACAGCGGAGGAGCCAAGGCAGATCGCCGCAATGCAATCGATATGGCGATCGTCAGAGACGACATGACCGCCGAAGGCACCGTCGTGCGTTGGGTTCCCCATTGCAGGATGCCCGCAGACAGTATGACCAAGGTCGACCCAAGCCGGGGCAACTTTGCGTTGACTGACCTGATGCACCACCGCGGGATCTTAGCACTGATCGACGAGTCTGGTTCCCTGGACGAGCGCTCTTTCAACGAAGCGTTGAAGTCTCGGACCCGCACCGCGTCTCGGAGAGCACTGCAGCTGGAAGGATCCGAGGTGTCAGCAGCCGATCCAGAGGTGGAGGAGGTCGAGGAGGCAGGAGGAGGAGGGTCGCGCGCCGCCAGGACTGCCTGGCGAGAGCCCATGGAGGTGGAGGGAAGCCCGAGCCCAGTACCCTCCGACCCGACCGGGGGGCCTCCGGGGACTCGGGGGGAAGGTGGAAGGGGCGGGCTACACTGCTAGGGCCCTCTCGGCCAGGTTCAAGGCAGGACCTCTTGGGAAACTAAAATGGGGGGCGCTGTCTTATAGATTCCCATCTCCCATGTCCCAAGAGGTCCCCAGAGTTGTTTCAGTGCGTTGTGCATTGTATAGTCACGTTGCTGGGCGAAAACATTGTATTCGAGGGTTTGCAGCCGTCGTGGCTCAAGTGCGCGTGTTCAGGAAAAGGGCGGCGGGTGGGATATCGACTCGCTCTCGCGTCGCTGCCGGGCCTCCCTCCGTTTCCTCTGGTCAGAGACGGCCGCTGACATGTATGTATGTCTGTCTGTCTGTCTGTCTGTCTGTCTGTCTGTATGTATGTATGTATGTATGTATGTATGTATATATGTATGTATGAATGTATGAATGTGTACGTACATCTCTCTATCTATATGTGTATATATATATATGTATGGGTTCCTGGGCCGCGACTCCGCGGATGCAGGGCGTCTTTCTCCAAGGATGCCCCGCCGGGGATAGATCCGTGCGGCTGCGCATTCGTGGGATCGCGCCCCGAAATCCAGACCGTGAGGGCGCGGATACGAAAATGATCGCAATTCACACGGTGGCAACTCATGGGCGCCTCCCATGTCATCTCATCTTGTCGGCTCTTGCGAATGAACACAACTAGTCGACGCTAGTTGACACTAACTCGACGCTAACCGACGCTAGTCGACGCTAGCCGAAGCTAAATCGACGCTAGTCGACGCTAATTCGGCGCTATCTTATCGACTTTCACATGCTAATCGACGCTAATCAACGCTAAAGACGGGATGAAGAGGGTACACCAGGCTCCAATGATTTGCTACCGAACGTTCATGAGTTTCCCCCATGGCGAGGCCGGTGCGAGGCGGGGATTGATCCATATCCACCGCCTGGGAACCGAAGCAATGGTGCCCCAACGGGCGGTGGATAGGGCTATATTTTGGTCTCTGGAGGCCCGAACATGTCCATATCCACCGCTTGCCGAACTCACGGAAACTTTGTCCTCCAGGCGGTGCATTCTGAAACCCCTGAACCCAAAAACGTTTTCATCTCTTGGGGGCACACCTTCTACTTCCGCCCAAATCCGCCGGCCTTCCGCAGGCTTCCGCCGGCTTCCGCTGGCGGAGGCGGCCTCGTTCTACTTCTGCCGACCTTCCGCCGCCTTCCGCCGAGAAAGAGACGACAACTCTTGCGATTTTCGATGGCAAGGCCCCTTTCCCAGAACCCCGACGTCACGATTTTTCATGACGCGACCCCCGCAGAGGTCCTGGACCGGACCCCTGCCCTGGGACCAGCTGTTCACCCTGAGTCGTTTTGTGGACCGTCCGAAGCCCGGTGAGGGCCCCCATTGGCCGAAAGCAGAGAAAACTTGCCGTCGTGATTTCTGTCACAACTCGATGGGGGTCCGGGCATGTGCAAATTCACGCCTCGGAGCGAGGGCGGCGATCGGTTGGCCGCCGCCGGCCTGCTCTGCCGCGACCGCGGCCGCGCTGGCTCCCCGCGCCGCGGGCTCCGGCGCGGGCTCGCCATGGCCGGCCTGCGGGCCGCCGGGGCGATCTGGAATGTGGACCCCGTCTACCCCTCCTCCTCCCTCCTCCTCCTCCTCCCTCCTCCTCCTCCTCCTCCTCCTCCTCCTCCTCCTCCTCCTCCTCCGCCCTCCTCCTCCTCCTCCTCCTCCTCCTCGGCCTTGTCCTCGTCCTTCTCCTCCTCCTCTTATTTTTCTTCTTCTTCTTATTATTATTATTCTTCTTCCTCTTATTATTATTCTTCTTATTGTTATTATCATTATTATTATTAGTCTTCTTCTTCATTTTCTTCATCATCTTCTTCTTTATTATTATTGTTATTATTATTACTATTATTATTATTATTTATAATTATAATTATCATTATTATTAGTATTATTATTACTATCATTATTATTATTATTATTATTGTTCTTGTTCTTCGTATTATTATTATTCTTCTTCCTCCTCCTCCTCGTCCTTGTCCTCCTCCTCCTCCTCCTCCTCCGCCTCCTCCTCCTCCTCCTCCTCCTCCTCCTCCTCCTCCTCTCCCTCCTCCTCCTCCCCCCCCCCCCATCTGGGGGGGGTCCGAGGACCCTGGGACCCATCCCATCTGGGGTGGGGGGGAGTGGCGCGGGCCCGGAGCCCGCGATCATATGTGGTCGAGGGTTTGGGCGCCCCCCCTCAATCCTAAGGCTATCGCCCCCCCCCCCCCTCCGCGCGATGGCCCCCCCCCCCTGTGGGCGTGGGCGTGGCGTGGTGGCCCCCCCCCTGGGGGAGTGGTGTGGGGTCCCCCCTGTGGGTGTGCGGTGGTTAGGGGTCCGCCTCAGCTAAGAGTCGGCGTCGCTGGCGCCGCCGCCGCCGTCGTGTCGTCGTCGTCGTCGTCGTCGTCGTCGTCGTCGTCGTCGTCGTCGTCGTCGTCGTCGTCGTCGTCGTCGTCCCAGGGATGGAGAGGCGGATGGGGAGAGGAGGAAAAGGAATGTCGTCGTCGACGGTGTCTTCACCGTCGTCGCCTCCTTCTGGGGGTGGCGTTGTGTTCTGGTGCTTCAGGGAGCCGGAGCGGACGGTGTCTTCGCCGTCGTCGTCGCCGTCGTCGTCGTCGTCGTCCTCCTCCTCCTCCTCCTCCTCCTCCTCCTCCTCCTCCTCCTCCTCCTCCCCCTCCTCCTCCCCCCCATCCCATCTGGTGGGGGGGCCCGAGGACCCTGGGACCCATTCTATCTGGGGGGGGGGGCGTGAGCCCTGAGCCCACCCACGATCAGATATGGCAACTCCTCCGGCTCCCGGAGGAGCCGCGCACTGCGACGGGGCCCAAGGACTCACACACACACACACACATACACACACATATATGCAAATTCACGCGAATACCAATGTTCCCCCTATTTTCTCGTATGTTCGGGGTTTTGTCTCCCCCCCACTTCCCACATAAGGAACCGAACTCTATACACCGACGCTTTTTCCGGCACTGCACTGACATCTGCACGGGAAAGCGGATTCTGGTGTATAAGGGATCGCGGTGTGCATATTTTTCGCTGTTCCCCCAGGAAGGCGGGGAAGAAAGTATACACCGCACCACCCCGACGTCGCCCCCGATCCTCAAAAAACCCTGATATTGAAAAACGGCGCGCCACTTGAAATGCATATGCTCCCATTTCCGACCATGTGCTCCCACATTCCCCCGGGAATCGACGATTCATTGTGCCTGTGCTTCTTCCCCTCCTGATTCTGGACCGCTCCACGTGTGCCGCTCCTTGCCTCCTCGATGCGCGAGCGGGGGCCTCCAGGATGTCCCCGGCGTCGCTAGCCCACGCGCTGCTGCTGGCTCCCGACTCCTGAGCTGAAGGCAGAACATCGGTCCAGGATTAGGGGAGCGAGTAATGACATAAACATAAAAAACTCCGAGATCCGCGCGGATTCCCCGGATCGGCGCTGGACCCCCCCCCCCGGCGCGCGGAGCGCGCCAAGGGCGGCGCCGGAGGCTCCGCCAGGGGGGTCCAGCGCGGATCCGAGAAATCCGCGCGGACCTCCGAGTTTTTATGTTTATGTCATTGCTCGTTCCCCAGAGCATGTAAATCGGCGATCTCTGCGATGCCGGTGGTTGAGGAGGGCGTTATCGGGCGGCGCGACCGATGCAGAGCGCCCTGGAGCACTCTGAGAGCGTTCCAGGACACTCTGGGGCCATCTTTTCCGGGTCCTGGGCCCGCCGAATCTCCTCCAGCCAGGCGCAGAACTCGAGGAGCGTCTCCCGGTAGAGGCCAGACAGGTCCCTGACTGCGGTGTGCGTGTCGGACAGGGCGGGCGCAGCGCCGTGGATGACGGTCTGTGAGCGGAAGGGGGGGACGAGGAGGAGGAGCAGTGGGAGCGGGAGAGGGTGGAAGAAAGAGGAAGAGAAGGTAAACGAGAGGAGGAAGGGGAGGGGAGAAAGGGGCGAATGAGATTGTTCGGCCGAGGTAAGACCGCATTCTGACCAGCCTTCCCACGAATCCACTGGGCAGCTGATGGGGAGGGAGATGGGGAGTAAGCCATTCTCGACAGCATCGGGCAGGCTCGAAGACTCCCCGATGCCCCCCTGCCATTCTCGCTGCCCGGGAAAGGCAGCCGTGTGAAGCCCACGAGGTCCCGCCTCCAAAAGATGTTTTTCGCCAGCGGGGAGAAGGAGGCACTCCGCACCAGCGCGGGGCTCATCGGGGCAAGTCATCGGCAAGTTGCCCGGCGTGCAAGAGAGAGAGAGAGAGAGGTGAAGACGAGGACGGCGGCGCGAGGGGTGGGGGGGGAGGGCGCTCAGACGTGGAAGCGCTCCGCGGCGAGCGGGCCCACCTCCACAACACGAGGCTCGAGAATCTTGTCCCACTCCGGGAGGTGCCCCTGAAGAGCGTGGACTGCAGCAGAAGTGCCCTTGGCGCACTACCTCTTGAGCCCCAGACCTTCCCCAAAGTCCATTCCTGTCGGGGCGATTTCGGAAACCTTGATCCCAAACACGTTTTCAACTCTTGGGGGCATATCTTTTACTTCCGCCGCCTTCTGACGCCTTCCGCCGGCGGAGGCGGCCTCGTTTTACACCTCAAGGCCTGCAAGGCCCGAAGGAGCGTGCCCAATAATGTAATATCTATATATATATATATATATATATATATATATATATATATAAATAAACTTATCTCATTCCCTTATCCGTACGAAGTGCGTATACTCTAAACTTCAGACGTTGAAAAGGTATGGTCGGCCGAAGAGAAAAACAAAGAGCGACTGGAAGCGGCTGTTCTTAACAATTTCAAGGCCAAAATACAATTCGCACCAAATGACAGGCATCATGATACAGCATCCCGCCCTTGATGTGATCCGTGCTGCAAACATCCTGCCGTCATCGACGATCGTCATCCTTCGGAGGCTCCGCGTCTTGGGACGACTTCTGGAAGTAGAGCCAGCTGGGCGACAAAATTCTCCACATGCCTGGAAGTTAGAGTCACTAATCTGTGCTGGGCAAAAAGATTTGGTTCAACCACCCTCCTGAATTCCAGAAGCCTTTGTGATCTCAGTGTCAGGCACGGTAGAACATATGCGTACCAGAGAGAGCCTCCCGCTCCATCTTGGGCGCTCAGGGCAAGCCGCACCAAGGCACACCTGCGCCAAGGCTGTGCCAGAATTTCGCCTGGCTCTGAATGCCTGGCGTACGGAAGCAGTTTTTAACTCCACATCAAATTGCTCAAACATCTCCGACACTGCCCGAATTCTGCCTTGAGTGCTTTGCGAACGGACTCCGTACATTACCCATTGACACGGTACGGGAACTATGTATCGAGTGCTCACATCGATTAAGGGCAAGAGATGGCTTGAAGGGAAGGATACGCAAGCTTTCCAGAGGGCCCGCCGACGCCCTGTATGGGCCCAGTACCCAAAGACCTCGGGGTACAGCATGTGCCGAAGCTCTGCCCACCAATCCCGAATTGGGATCGAGTCGCACATGCTGGCGAAATCTTTCGCCGCTGTTCCTGCAAAGGCCTTTGGATCCCACCACCGTGGGCCCCACCTGTGTATCAAGCCCATGACGAAATCTTGTGTCCAAAGCTGATTGGAAATCAGCAGCACACACTTCAGGACAAATGTGGTGGCTTCGCCAAATGTTTAAGATAACGGCTGTGCTGTCGACATGAACTTCGCTGGCCGAATCCACCGCCTGATAGACCGAGCAGTGTGCCGCTGACCGGTCGCAGCAGGTCCGAACCCCCCCTGTGCGACCTGGCATGGTTGTGCGGCCAGTGCAAAATGTATCCCCCAAGTGCTCAAACATATTAAAACATGTCTCCATGTTACCCCATATCCTAAGACGGGGTCTTTGTTATTACTTGGACGCCTCCTATTCCTTCTCCCTTTCTTCTCATCCTCCTCATCCTCATCCTCCTCCTCATACCGAGACTTACTCATACACAAACTTACTCATACACAAACTTACGCATACACAAACTTATTCAGACTCAGACTTGATCGTATTAATGACCCATACTCAGACGTAGTCAGACTCAGACCTACTCATACTCAGACTTACTCGTGCTGAGACTCACTCATACCCAGATTTACTCATATTCAAACTTCTTTCATTGTCTGACTTATTCAAAACACAACAGATTGTGAGGATGTCTCAGGCGGGGCGCTGGTTCCAGCACCCCTGAAAAAAGGGGAGCCGCCAACGGGTATGGCACGGTCCCGTTCGCGGCCGTTGTGTGGGAATGTCTCAAGAGGTTTGCCTGTTTCCTGTCCCAACATCCTTCGCGTGGACAGCAAATTGTGAGGATGTCTCAGGCGGGGCGCTGGTTCCAGCACCCCTGAAAAAGGGGAGCCGCCAACGGGTATGGCACGGTCCCGTACGCTGCCGTTGTGTGGGAATGTCTCAAGAGGTTTGCCTGTTTCCTGTCCCAACATCCTTCGCTTGGACAACAAATTGTGAGGATGTCTCGGGCGGGGCGCTGGTTCCAGCACCCCTGAAAAGGGGAGCCGCCAACGGGTATGGCACGGTCCCGTACGCGGCCGTTGTGTGGGAATGTCTCAAGAGGTTTGCCTGCTTCCTGTCCCAACATCCTTCGCTTGGACAGCAAATTGTGAGGATGTCTCAGGCGGGGCGCTGGTTTCAGCACCCCTAAGGGGAGCCGCCGAAGGGTATGACACGGTCCCGTTCGTCGCCGTTGTGTGGGGATGTCTCAAGAGGCTTGCCTGTTTTCTGTCCCAACCTCCTTCGTTTGGGGATCAGATTCTGAGGATGTCTCAGGCGGGGCGCTGGTTTCAGCTGCCTAATGGGAGCCGCCAATGGTGTTTTCAAGGCTCCGTTCGTCGCCGTTCTGTGGGGATGTCTCTAGCGGTTTGCCTGTTTTCTGCTTTTGCGTTGTGTCCCGAATGGCTCTCCCCGTTGCGTACGGCGGTCAAGGAGGAGTGACCAAGTGTTGCTGGCGCAGAGCTTGTGTCACCGTGGGATGTTGCGTTCTCTCTCCGTGGTGCTTTCCAACATTGTTGGCGTCAGCGGGAGCGGGGACGCTCAGCTTCGTCCGTGGCGCACAGCGCGAAACGGTTTGGTTTCGTTCTCTCGCACGCGCACTAACTGACGACGGCTGCCTCGCAAGGGCAGACGATACGCGCTGCAGTGACCATTGACTGCGCGCGCCAAGCGCCTCAGGGGCGACGAGGCATCAACAATGACACTCGGTGGTTGAACCTCTACGTGATGTTTTCCCGCGCCACTCGGATGGCGGACATGTTGCTGGTGCGCCCGCCGCCTCGCTGGCTTTTGCAAAGAGGTCCGCCAGTGTCATTGAAATGCGCTCTTCGACGCTTCGCGGCGTCTGAGGACTCGACGGTGGCGAGAGCCGCCCTACTCGCTGGGGAGTACTGCATAACGCTGCCAGAGATCGAGTGACGGCCCGTATTTTTTCTGGCCCGGTGCCCAGTGCGGACGGCATTTTTGTTGTCCAAATCCCTCTGTCGCCTGCCTGGCACTGCAAAGCCCGACGCCGAGTGCAGACGGCTGTTTGCTTGTGTTTGTCTTCTGTCTCCGCGCTCAGCTATTGCTCTGCCTTCGCGCTGAGCCAGACCTGGTCCGATTCCAAGTGCGGACGGCCAGTGCGCGAACGTATTCACTTTGCCCCATCATCCTACGTTTCTCTTAGGCGCCCGCCCAAACATGGCCCGATGCCAAGTGCGGACGGCACTCCGCGTGAATTCCTCACTGGGTTCTTGTATTAAGTAGCCCCATCTTGGTGTGGACGGCACAGGCGAACAACCTCTGCCACGGTGCTTGCGACGCAGTGTCAATGATTTTTGTTTGCGTTGACCAAAAAGATGCGCTGATCTATGCTTGCGGATGAACATATACATGTGTTGGATGTGCAGCCGAACTGCGCGCGCGTGTGCTCGTCACTCACGTAGACGCGCTCTTATAACAAAACTGTCATAGAAATATGTCCACCATAGCACTACCCGACAATCTGAGATGCACATATGGCTGATATGGCTAGACGCTCACTTACATTTCCCAAATACAAGTATTACCTTTTAGAAAGGGTGCACTTATGGGGAGCTCCACGCAGTGAGCAATTCTTCAATAATATTGGAATATTCCTCCTCTAGAAGGACAGGCCCGACTTCAGCTCAGGCCGACTGCGAGTCGCATTCCCCCCGGCTGCTCTGTCGCTGGCCCCGTGGGGGATGCCTTGCTGCCGTCTTCCACAGCGGCCTGCCACCCAGCCTCACCGCACACCCACCGAACATCTCTGGCTGCTCGGATTGGACGTCCTCTGACCTCCACAGGTTTAGGCCCTGGGACTCAGGGGGCCCCCCGGACTACAAGGGCCCCTCCGACAGACTACAAGGGGAACTAGGGCCCCCCCCCCGGACTAGGAGAATCCACCCCCCCCGACTACAAGCGCCCACGCCCCGGACTACAGGAACCCCACCTGGACGACAAGGGCCCACCCCTGGACTTAGGCACCCTCCCAGCACAAGTGCTACGACTAGCCAGTGATAGACAAGCGGCAGAGGTTGGGGCCTCTCTCTCCAAAGGGAGGCTCCTCGCACTCAAGCGCGCGAGCGCGCGCGCGCGTGCTGCCGCGAAATCGTAGCGCGCCCGCCAGACGACAGGACTGGACATTTGCTTGCGCATCGCGTGTTGTCTGCGTTGCATGTGATGAACGCTGCGCGGCTAGCGCGCGCGTCAGCGCACGCGAAAGCTGCGCAACGTCGTCGTCGTCGTCGCGGCCGTCGTCGAACGGAACGTCAGGCCACGAAGATCAACGCATCACCCAATCCCGGACTACAGGACCCCCTCCCCAGACTACAAGGGCCAACCCCGCCCAGACTACACGGGCCCCCCACGAATTACAAGGGCCCCCTCCCTGGACTACAGGGACCCCCCCCGGACTACAGGGCCCCCCCCCGACTACAGGTCAAACCACCCTCCCTCCCCGGACTATTGGTCACCTCCCCCACAAACTGAAGTACTCAGGCACTCAGAGTACTGACAGGTATCAATTGTGACAGAAGCACACACAGACGCCCTGGGACAAAGCTCCTTCCCTATGCTTTCTGCCCCGCGTTTATTGCATGCTCAGAACTGCTGTCAACGTCTATGTACACATGCTTTGAAGTCTTCTTCACCATGATGATCGCTCCATCATCCGTGCCCAACCTGGAGGCCGTGAAGGCGTGATGGTCTCGTTGAACGAGTGGCAGCAGCTTGGAGGACCGCATGTCAGCGAGTGCAAATGTTTTCGGACGCAAATGGAGCCTCCAATAGTGTGGTCCCAGGTCCAGACCTGGCCACTCTCGTGGTCCCCCTGGGCCCGTATGTTTTGCGGTCCAGGCCTGGACAGGGAATGGCCAGAGGCCGTCCGAGGCCAATCCCTCTCCATCCTCCGCCTACTTCCTGCCCGGGATCTCGGGAATGGCGATCCGTGTCGGCAAAGCTTATACCAGGTCCGTGTCGGCAAAGCTTATACCAGGTGTAGGAACAACCCAAGAAAAGCCCCCCGATCCTCCTCCCAGGAGCTCTCTCTTGCTTGTGCTCTTTGCGATAACGCCCGCCTATGGGGCCGCCCCTGGTAATGCCACGGTTCGCGCTGGCGCAGTCTGGAAGTGGCTATGGGCAACGAACTCCAACAACGGTGCCAACGCACATCGTGACGTTCCCAGCCCCCTCCCCTCCTCAAAAACATCTACCGTTTTGTGGCCAGGGAATGCAGAAACCATTTTCCTTTTCATTCTCCCTCCGTCCCGTCTTCAAGACTGGCACCTGGACCTTTCCTGGGGTACGTTCTGACCAGGATGTCGGAGCGCATCCCGCTGTGGCGACGAGTGCTCCCAGGTGGATAAAACACAGAAAGCTTACGAATTTCCCCTCCCCCGAGCAGGTCTGGAGACAGAGAAATGGACGGCCGCCTGCCCAGGCCGGTACGCGTGCAACTTCGCCGGGCGCGACGTCTCATCCGCGACGTGACGGGACTGCTTGCCGCTGACTTTGAAATGCTCGGCGACGGCCTTTGGGAAGTTGGTGTCGGCATTGTTGTCGCCGTTGGTGACCCCCAAGTCGAGCCACCTGGAGTCGAGGGGGAGAGAAGTTCGAATCGACCGGGCACGGTGCGTCTCATCATTGCCAACCCTCCCGCAGCCACCAACGAACAGTGCACGATGATTGGTGGGAATTCCCATAAGCCTTCTGGGAGCAAGTGGTTCAGAGCATCGGCTCTGCCGATCGGGTCTACCTTGCCCTCTCCGAACCCCCCTCCCGTAGGTTTGATTCGGGAGGTGCCGCGACGATTGTGAAAACGCCCACGATGGTCCAAGGTGGCTTCAGGATGTGAAGTGGCCTCAAGTAGCTTCAGATGCCAAGATGGCGCACGCTGGCCTCCGATACGGCCCCAAGCAGCAACCAAGCGGCCCCGACATGGGCCAGTGCTGCCAAGAGACGAAAATATTCAGTGATGTCCCCGAGCGGCAACACCGGTGCAGATGCGAAAACAACCGTTCAGCGTTTTTGGCCGCCTCGACCTGCCCGACGCCGATGGGTCTCTGAATCCCCTGGTGCCCCCAGGACGACCCGAGAGGGGAGGACCTCCCAGAGCATCCCAGAGTATCCCCGAGCCTGCTCTGCACTTTACAAGGGTCAACGACGCAGGCGCACGGAATCAACTGAGGCACGGAGGCCTACACCGGCCCTGTGCAACACGCGTCCACCAAAAGCCGATTCGAGTCCGGGCACAGGGCACCAGGACGGAGATGGAAAGTCCGACGACGGTAACCGAAAAAACGGGTTTTGCCGTTCCATGAGGCTCTGCAAGAACGCCCCCCAAACCACCGACACGCTCTGTCTAAAGGTGGCCGCCCCTGCGCCGATACCCCCCAGACGTTGCCCCTGACTTAAGTCGGGCCTGTCCTCCTACAGGGGGATTTTGGACGAAAAATTAAAAATAGTTCAAACATACACCTAAATGGTCAAAAACCGTTAAAAAATCGCCCCCGCACTATATTTTACTATTTTTGAATACTCCTCCTGTGGAGGGACAGGCCGGACTTGACCCCTGACCCTCCACCCCCTCCTGGAGGGAGATCCAGAAGGGCCCAGACCGGCCCACCGACTTCTGAAATTGTCTCCGGCGGCGCCCGACCAGGTCCCCCCTCGGCGACTCTCCAGGGTGTGGTTTGCAAAGGGTGTGGTTTGCAGCTGGCACCCAGGGAAACATCCTGGGGGGCACCCGGGGGGGCGCGCAGGGACCTCGATAGAGTTCTCCTGCGGCCAGGCGGCTCCCGAGCGGGTCCCCCCCACCCCCATTGGAAGAAGAAGAAGAAGAAGAAAAGATACGGTCCCAATGTTTTAGATATGCTTGAAACATGTATGCATTTAGCTACGGCAGCGCTCCCGTGAAGGCCGGGGGCGCGCATCTAAGATAAATATCTGTAAGGTCGTCGTTGCAGAAAATCCGCCGGCCCCCTTATGGGGCCACCAGGCTGTAGGGCGAAGGTTCGCAGTTCCGTGCACCAGTTGCAGCTTCCAGTTTCCACTGTTACAATTATGCTTCTTGCTGCTTACTGTGTTACAATTCTGCTTCTTGCTGCCTACTGTTCCTTGTTGATGGACCGCGCGAGGGGGGGAGGCCCAAAACGGGCATTTTGACCACGCCCTAAGCGTGTGCTCTGAATTGCTGGGGTGGGTGAAAATTCACACCCCTCACGCAGATCGGCGGGGTCAGGGTCCAAGAACACATGGGATTGGCCACATTTCTAAAATTCGGCGGCACCCCTCACGCAGATCGGCGGGGTGAGGGTCCAAAAACACATGGGATTTGACACACTTCTGAAATTCAGCGCACCCATCACGCGGATCGGCGGGGTCAAGGTCCAAAAACACATGGGATTGGCCACATTTTTAGAATTCGGTGGCACCCCTCACGCAGATCGGCGGGGTCAGAGCAAAAACACATGGGATTGGCCACATTTCTGAAATCCGGTATCACTCCTCACGCAGATCGGCGGGGTCAGGGTCCAAAAACACATGGGATTTGAAACATTTCTGAAATTCGGCGGCACCCCTCACGCGGATCGGCGGGGTCAAGGTCCAAAAACACAGGGGATTGGCCACATGTGTAAAATCCGGTGGCACCCCTCACGCAGATCGGCAGGGTCAGGGTCCAAAAACATATGGGATATGCAACATTTCTGAAATTCGGCGGCACCCCTCACGCAGATCCATAGGGTCAGGGTCCCAAAACACAAAGGATTTGCAACATTTCTGAAATTCGGTGGCACTGGCACTGGTGACGCAGATCCGTGGGGTCAGGGTCGAAAGACAAGCAGGTCCCGACACTGCTTCACGGCGGCGCCCAGACCTCATGCTTTGGCTTTTGCATCTCCCATTGCCCGAGACAGGGGGCCGGCGGCATGGGGCGAAGCCCTTACGGATTGGAAGAGGAGGAGGAGGAGGAGGAGGAGGAGGAGGAGGAGGAGGAGGAGGTGGAGGAGGAGGGGGAGGAGGAGGAGGAGGAGGAGGGGGAGGAGGAGGAGGGGGAGGAGGAGGAGGGACCTCCCGGGCGTCGGGGCTCGGGCCACGAGGCCCCCCGCAATGCCGCCGTCGTGACGGTGGCCTCTCACGGGGGAAGCTACGAGAAGGCACCGCTGCCGCTGCTCCCCGGACCTCTCCCGGGGCGCGCTCTGACCAGGATATAATGATGGGACGCACATGGACATACTAATACTATATGTCCTCCTTGGAGGCGCGCGTCCGACCTGAACATATAGTATACCCATCTTGTAGTATATCGTTTCCCGAGCGGTGTGGCCAGAAAACGCCCGCCACGACGCATATACTATAAGATTTCTCGGTGCGCGCGTCGCCCCTGGGGGGGCGACGCACATATAGTATAAGTATGTTGGGGTGTTGCCGAAATGACAAAGGCCGTGCTGACGGCGTGCTGGGTTCACGGTGCGGTTGGGAATCTTGGTTTTGTGACACCGAGCTCACGCAAAACAACATGTAGGAGTTCACGAAACACTGGTTCATGCATCTCACATCTGCGAAGGCATGGACCAACAACGGCACAGCGAGCTTTAGGAAAACACGAGCCACGCGCTCCTACAGTTGTTTTGGCCACGAACCACGCCTTCCTACAGTTGGTTTTCCTACTTCGCCGTTAGCTAACACACTGTTAGCGCGTCTACGGAATGATCTACTGGTTAGGCTGAAATGGGCAAACACACATTGGGCTAACACACGTCCCGAGGATCATCGAACGTCGAACGTTGCCCCTGACCCTCTGCACCCTCCCGGAGGGCGAAGCAGAGGGGCCCAGACCGGCCCCACCGACTTCTGAACGTGTCCCCGGCGGCGCCCGACCGGGTCCCCCCTCGGCGACTCCAAAGGGTGTGGTTTGCAAAGGGTGTGGTTTGCAGCCGGCACCCTGGGGAACATCCTTGAGGGCACCTTGGGGGGCGCGCAGGGACCTCGATAGAGCTCTCCCGCGCCCCGAGGAGGCCCGACGAGGACAATGTCGTGCCCCCCAGGCCCCATCGGTGCCGATAGCAAACCACACCGCGGCGTATCCGTACCCGTTGTAGTCGCCCGTCGCACAAGGGGGACATCCCACAGGCGTTCGGGTTCTGGCCACGGGTCCCCTCCGCAAGCCGCCGTCGGGACACAGCCTCTCTTGTGGAAGCCAGAAAAGGCACCGACATTATGCTACTCCCTGGACCTGTCCTGGGGCGCGTTCTGACCAGGATTTCGAAGCGAATCCAGCGGTGGCGACGAGGGCCTCCCGGGAGGCCGAAAACTGTGAAACCGGGCGAGGGCCAGCGGTCTGGGTGCCTGTCTTTCCTCCTCTGAGACACAGCCACTTCGATGACTGGCCTCGTTGCACTCCTGGCCTGGGCTGCACTACATCATAAAGTCGGGCATGTCCTCCTACAGGCGGATTTTGGCAGAAAAACGACACAAAATAGCAAAAAAATGCTCGAAACTGGCCAACAATAGTCGAAGAGCCGTCTCCAGACTAGGTTTTCTTGCTATCTTTGAATTCTCCTCCTATGTAGAGGGACAGGCCCGACCTGAAACTAGTAGGGATGCATGAGCGGACGCAGAGGGGCCTGTAGATGCTCCTTGGCACCTCCCCAGCAGCCCCGGGCCCGTCGCGGCCGAGGACATGCGCCTCCACCACGTCGACCACCACCGCCTCGCGCGAGGAGGACAGCCAGGAGGAGGAGGAGGAGGAGGAGGAGGAGGAGAAGGAGGAGGAGGAGGAAGAGAAGGAGCAGGAAGAGGAGGAGCAGGAGGAGGAGGAGGAGGAGGAGAAGCAGGAGGAGGAGGAGGAACATGAGGAAGAGGAGGAGGAGGAAGAGGAGGAGGAGGAAGAGGAAGAGGAGGAAGAAGAGGTGGTGGCGGAGGAGGAAGAATTGAAGAGGGCTCCCGAGCTTCTCGCCCTATCAAGTCTGGTCTCGGCAAGCTCAAGCCACACGAGTGAGCCCACGTAGTCAGTGTCGTTTGGGGCGGCCAGTGGCCGCAAGAGCTCCAGCGTCAGTGCGGACTGTCGCAAGAGCACAACTGCTGCGCCTGTTCCTCTACCTCAGTCACTCTGTTGCACAGGCATATCACGTGTCCAGGGCACCAGGACTTGTGAGAAACCGAGGAAGAACCGCCAGCCTGTACCAAAGGAGTGCTGGAGTCTGCAGGTAATCCGCTCGTCCTCCTCCTCCTCCTCGCGGAGAGGCTGCTTGTGCTGTTGCCTGCTCCCCCGCCCCCTCTTCCTCTCCCCACTGAGGAGCTCCCCCGAAGGGCTCGGAGGAGGTTGATGTCACGGATGCTTCTCTGTTTGATTCTAAGCTCCCTCCCACTGCTTGCTTGCTCGGCTGGGAGATCGCTGCGTTGTATGACGACCCAACCTTCCCCCTGGGAGGGCCAAGCATGCGGTGGTCGCGGGAGGCCTGCAGGCAGGTTTGTACGACATTGGTGCGCGTGAGCCCCAGGCTTTCTCATGGGCCTCAGGCATGCCCTTCCTGATGCGTCCTCTTGGACAGATTTCAGCTCCGTGTTTGAGAAAAGGTTGGGCATGTGGGCATCAGTCCTGCTGCTCGGCCAAGTCGGCCTGGGCAGACATCTGGAAACTTGTCGGACATGCTACTGAGGATAAATGAGGCCTCGATCATGTGAACTTGCATGAAGTAAAAGCGCACACCACTCGTTCCTATCTGCTAGCTGGGAATATCACTGCCCGTGCGCAGACAGGTAACCAGCTGGCCGACACGTATGCCAAGCGAGCTGCCGAGTTTACCAGAGCTTCAGCTCAGTATCACGAGCGTTCCACAAGTCAGCTCAACGTCGTTCGCACTCTCGCACGTTGGGTCAGCCGATGTGGGCCGCCGATGGCCAATCTTGTCTGTGAGCACATGCCTGTTCCCAAGAGAGCCCCCAAGCCAAACAACGGGTTGGACTCAACGCATGCTTTGCACAAGATACCTCCTCCTCCAGTGGCCGCCGCTGACGAGAGCCGTGCCGGCGTTCCGATCGCCGCGCTCCAGCGAGGAGGCCACGCCACTCACAGAGCCTCTCCTTTCACGCAAGGAGTGGCCTGTTCTCACGGGAGCCTGGCGGCCCGCAAGCCTGCAACGTGCTGGTCAAAGCTTGGTTCAGTCTGGCCCTCTGAGGGAGCACCTTGTCGCGGGCGCTGCAGCTGGGGATGGCACCCCATTGAGGTACTGTAGGTTCGCGCGGCGTCGGCGCGCGTAAAGGATTTCGACACCGCATCGACCTTTCAACTTTGAATCGACCGCGGCCCCGACCGTTCAAGGTTGAATCCAATCGGGTCCAGTTGCGTCTCTGTGTCCATCGGTGCTTCCGCGTCGCAGAGTTCAACCTTGACCGCCTTCGCCAACGTCGCCTGCGCGCCAGCGCCGCACGAACCTACAACAGCTATCCAGTTTCTGATGGGTGCTTACCAAGGGTCCTGATGTTTCGGTGCTCGCGGGGATTTCATGAGCGCCCACTGCGTGCGCAGGATGAAGTTTCGGGAAGACGTAAGACTCGGACACGGGGGACTCGGGTTGGCCTGGCGGAGCCATCACAGAAACGACGAGACCCAAGCTGAAATGTGACGCGAACTCCCGCCGCAAACATCCCCGAAAACCGGACCGTCGAAATCCAGGACGCGCTCGTCGGAAATAAGCCGGCCAACCCGGGTTCCGGCTTACACCCTGCGAAATGCTTAAGAAATCATGGGTTAAGAAATTCATAGTCTCAGAACGTGAATAAAAACCCAGAATTTCTATTCAAATCTTAGGATTTACATTGAAACATTAAGAATAATCGAGACTCTGGCCGAAAACTTAAGTTTTCTAAAGCATCGCCTAAGGTGTACTCGAGTCTTAGGTTGTCCCGAATGTTGGAGAGCAGGAAGCGCAAGGGGGAGGAGGAAGAGGAGGCAGACGGGGGGAGGACGGGGGGAGGAGGAGGAGCAGGAGTCGGAGGAGCTCCGACGGGGCCGCAGAACAGATCTCCCCCCTCCCTCCTCCTCCCCTCTCCTCATGGTCCCCCTCCTCCCTGCTCCCTCCTCCTCCCTCGTCCTGGGCAGAAGCCGAGGGGGGACCTCTCCCCTCCTCCCTCGTCCTGGTCATCCTTCTCGTTCTCACCGTCTCTTCTCAAGTGGCGCGGACGGGGAGGAGCAGCAGCACCTGTGGAGGTGCGCTGATCGTCGCGGCCTGGGTGCTGAGAGGGCAGGGGGGAGATGAGGCCAGAGGGAGGGGATGGGGAAGGGGTGGGGAGAGAAGAGGGTGGAGGACGAAGAGGAGAAGACAGAGGTGGAGTCCGAAGGAAGATGAGGTGGAGGAGAGGGCGTGCTGCGATTACATGCGGAATAATAACAAGAAGAAACAGAAGGAGGCGGAAGAGGACGAGTGGAAAGTCCGAAGGAAGATAAGGTGGAGGAGAGGGCGTGCTGCGATTACATGCGGAAGAATAACAAGAAGAAACAGAAGGAGGCGGAAGAGGACGAGTGGAATGAGAGCGGAGAGGACGGGTGGAGGAGGGGGAGAAGGAGGAGAAGGGGGAGGAGGAGGAGGAGGAGGAGGAGGAGGAGGAGGAGGAGGAGGAGGAGGAGGAGAAGGAGGAGGAGGAGGAGGAGGAGGAGGAGGAGGAACGGGGGGAGGGGAGAAGCGCGGCCCGCGCTCGACACGAACGCACTCTCGCCACTCGCGCTTCTTCGACGATGACCGAGGATGGGGGCGCGAGAGGCAAGATCAATCAGCATCGAATCGGAATGCGCGTCGGATTGGTTAGCACCGCCACGGAATCGAAATCGAATCGGATCGGCTGTGCCACGACGCACGGCATCACCGTGCAAACATTGGGCCGCGTGAAAACGTAGGAATGCTGGAATCAGACCGAATCGGGCTGGTCGGAACGGATGTCGAGTCGGATCGATCGGATCGAGAAGGACCCTGGGGAGAGTTGAAGAAGAGGCCAGGACCACGAGGCGGGGATTCATCCATGTCCACCGCCTGCCAGCGTCCACGAAGATCGACTTCCCCACTGGGGATGACCGCGGGGGTTGCTGAGTGGAAAGGGGGGATGCAGGCGGACGACAAGGTGGCTCATAGATGGCCCACCATGGCGTAATAGTGGGTTAGGAGCGCCCCAAGTGGCTTGGGGGGGTAAGGTTAGCTCGGGCATGTCCCCCTACAGAGGGATTTTGGACGACAAATAAAACATACTCGAACATACTCCCAACATGGTCAAAAATAGTCAAAAGAATCGTCCCCGGATTTTTTTTTGACTATTTTTGAATATTCCCTCTGTAGAGGGACAGGCCCGACTTAAACCTGGTGGAGCGAGCGGACCCACGCAAACCATTTAGGGTACCTCTGGCCCATTTATAAGCCAGGCTCGCCCAGATGTGACCTGTAACCCCATATCCACTTAGCACCCCCCCGCAGTGATCCAAGCCAGGCGGTGGCTTGTATGGATCAATCCCCGACGCCGGAAGGAGGAAGAAGAGGGGGAGGGGGCAGGCGATCGGGGGGAGGAGGAGCAGGGCAGGGATGGGATATAGGGGGAGGGGCAGGCGCGGAACGCAAGAATCTCGGAGGCCCACCACTGAGGAGGGCATTTTTTGTGTTGGGGGGAAGGCGTTGAGAGGATGGAGGGTCTGAGCAGTAGCATCCAGATGCAACGAACGATACCTTTGGCCGCCTACGGGCAGTGATACTGTCTCATGCCTCCCCACCCCATCCCTCCGACCCGAGTAACTTGTCTTCCTAAACCGAGCGCTCCCGAGGACCTCCGACGACCCTGGACGATCTCCGAGGACTATGTTGCTCCCATCGTACTTAACGACGATGTCCCAAAAATAATTTCGAGCAGCCGGAAAAGTGTCGAAAGAGTGTCGGAACAGTGTCGGACGAGTGTCTCCCAAGGCCCTACACGTGAAAACCCTCGAGATTCTGTACTTTTCTGGTGCTCGAAATTCTTTCTGGTGATCCAGGCTAACGTAGGCTGGAACATCATAATGAGTGGGGGGGACGCGTGCGGGCGGTAGCACTTGGGCCTTCGGTGGGGCTCCCTGTGGGGCCACGAAGCGCTGTACTCGGTGGGGGGGACGCATGCGGGCGGTAGCACTGGGGCCATCGGTGGAGCTGCCTATGGGGCCACGAAGCGCTGCACTGGGTGGGGGGACGCATTGGGGCGGTAGCACAGGGACCTTCGGTGTAGCTCCCTATGAGACCACGAAAAGCTGTACTGGGTTGAGAGGACGCATGTGGGCGGCCGTCATTGGAGCTCCCTATTGGGCAACGAAGTTATGTAAAGGGCGGGGGGGGCGCATGCGGGCGGTAGCACTGGGGCCGTCGGTGGAGCTTCCTATGGGGCCACGAAGCGCTGTGCTGGGCGGAGGGGACGCATTCGGACGGTAGACCTGGAACCTTCCTATGGGGCCACGAAACGCTGCACTAGGTGGGGGGAATCATGCGGGCGGTAGCACTGGGGCCTTCGATGGAGCTCCCTATGGGGCTACGAAACGCGTCAGTGGTGTGCCGAATTTTGTGTGGGGGACACATGCGGGCGGTGGCGTGCAGAACTGAGCGTAGGGACGCCTGCGAGCGGTGGCATTGGGGCCTTCGGTGGAGCTCCCTCGCGGCCACGAAACGTGTGAGGGGTGTGCCACATTGATTGTGGGGGGGGGGGGAC